CCCCTTCCGGCGGCGCTGGGCGGGGGAGCGCGGCCGCCACCTCTCCGCCGCGCCCGTAGGGCCGAGCCCCGCCCCCGCCCGGCGGGGCACAAAAACCAGACAAAACGGGGACAGTGAGGGAAACCGCGTAGTACGGTGCAGTGTGTGGGCTTGGTGTTGAGAGGCACTGGGGCAAGCGCAGAGTAGCACAGCGTGCTGCAGGGGAGAGGGTTACGCGTGCCATTAGGTGATGGCAACCCAGAGTGTAGCACCCTTAAGACCACTGTATGATAACGTGTAAGATACCATTATGGAGATGATGAGAATTCATACAAAGCACAGATTAAAAGCCTCCAAGAATTTCAAATTTTAATTCAAACTTTCAAGTTTCTCACGTAAGGAAATCCCATCTCTCCCCCTTTGATGCAAAACAAACTAATGAGACAACTGATAAAATGTTAGTCTACCAGTGACTCTAGAAAAATAAGATTATCATGTCTTAAAGGGTATTTTTCTACAGCAAGCAAATTGTTAACAGTTTACAGAGAGGCAATAAATAGTTATCCCATTAGAGCAGCCTATACATTGTTTTAGCTCAATTCTTGTTTTGCAGCATTTCAATTTATAAAACTGAGCACGCATGAGGGTCATACAATACAGAATGTCAACAGCCAAACACAGAGACAGAACATACAGATAGTGGTTAATCAGCAGCAGTACACAACTCAAAGCTGGTAGGGAAGTGATCTTGTAATTTTGAAACTCTGATACACACTGACCCAACACTAAAAAAAGACCAAAGTTTGATAAAAGTTTAATTATTTTTTTTCCCTTATTGATGCATTACTAGTTCCAGTTCCTCCCCCTCTCATTTATCAAAGGAGCTGAAGTAGTCCAGGAGAATTTCCCAGTATTTGCCACCTACAGGTAAGGACTCAAAAGGTATCTTGAAAAAGATTCATCCTTTGACTTAGTGGAATGGATTATAGGAAGCTGACACTCTAGACACTACCTACAGGCATTCAAATTCCACTAGCTGCCTACATGACAGAATTTGAACAGTGTTGGTGAAAATTCATTCCCTTGCAGTCCAAAGCTCAAAATATGTACAACCAAGTTAATGAGTGCTACTAGTATGAAGTCCTGCTCCTACCTGAAATCAAAAGGCAAATGAGTATTTCAGAAACAC